TTTTGTGCATCTTGGTATGATTTTATTTAAAGGTCTTTGCAAAAGGTTCATTTTTCTTGGAAATGTGGTATTATAAGTTGAACTAAATTCAGAAATTTTAAATCTTAAAAAAAAATGCTTAAAACTATTGTTTGAAGCAAGGTACAATTTCCCTATGATGAATGCTATCACTATGTATATGTGAAATGTACCAATAAAAAAATTCAAGGGAAGAAAAATAAATAAACAAAGTGAGCATCTGAAATGCATACATACTTCTTATAAGAAAAATATAAATGACAAATAAATTTACAAAAAAGTATTCAATATCATTAATTACTGGAGAAATGCAAATTTAATAAAACACCGAGATTCCATCCTACCCCAGAAAGAATGTCTATCATCAAAATGTCAGTCAATGACAAATGACAAGTGCTGGAGAGGATGTGGGGAAAAAAGAATGTTTTTACATTATTTTGGGGAGTGTAGATTGGTGTGACCACCATAGAAATCAGTGTGTAGATTCCTCATAGAAACAGGATTAGAGTTCCCATTCAACCCAGCTATTCCCCCCCTGGGTATTTTTCCACAAGAACTGGAAACAACATTCCATAGCAATACATGTGCACCCATGTTTATAACAGCACAATTTACCATAGGTAAATCTAAACAACACAAATGCTCATAAATAGAGGAATGCTCAAAGAATGATGTGGTTTTTTTGTGAAATGGAGGACTGCTCACCTACAAAGAAAGATGTACTCAAGAACCATATAGGTAAGTGGATGCAACTACAGATCATAATTGCAAATATAATAAGTCAGACTGTCATGTGTAAACATCATTTAGTTTTCCCTATCTTAAGATATTGAATGGTAAGTAAGATCCAAATGGTACAATAGATATGGTGAAAGTGAAAGAACCTATTCAGAAGGAAAGAACAATCAAATTGGAGAAAAGAGAAAAAAATGAAAGGGGGAAATCTGTATACACATGCAGATCTGATTTAATTCACTTAAGAGTACTTCTCTAGTTGCATCCATTTACCGACAAAAGACTCAAGTTCATCCCATACTATAGCTGAATAATATTCTATTGTGTAAAAATTCCACATCTTCTTTATTCATTCTTAAGTTGATGGGCATCTGGGTTGTTTCCAGGATTTAGCTATGAAAAATTGCCCTGCTATCATCATGGGTGTACATAAATCACTCTGCTGTAAGGTTTTTCAGTTCTTGTAGAAAAATAGCCAGGAGGAGAAAAGAAAAATTGAATATGAGGAGTACAATAGATATTGGGAAAAGGGAATGAACTTATTCAAAAGGGAAGAGTTTCTGAGTTGAGGAGAACAGAATTGGGAGAAAGGGAAAGAAATATATCTATGTATGTAAGCAGGATGGTTTGGAAAACTGTACTGTGCATTTCTCCTGACCTACGGAAAAGAGCAGATAATAATAAGTTTTGTCTCCTTTTTTCAATTGAACTTTTTCTCTTCTTAATTTCTTGTACACTTTTTTCTTCCAATTTTACATGCATATATCTGACAATATAAATAGCTAGTTGGAGGGCAACACTATGTATTACAAAAAAGTGTGAAATTAATATTAATTTGTTAAATGAAATTCTGCATCGCTTGTGATCTTTTCTGTTTTAATTGCAAAAAAGATATGCACATATGCACAACTTAGCTGGGATAATTGTATTAATAACTTCTATTATTTTTTTGAAAGGAAGAGACGGTGCTTCTGTTGTTTGATCGATTTTACATGTTTATATCTGGTCATCTGAGTAACTACTTTGAAGACAATAATATGAAATATAATGACCATTGTTAATTTCCTATTATCTTATTATCTTGTTTTGAAATTCAGTATTGTTTTTATTGGGTATTTTTTCTCTATTTGAAATAGGATGTATATTGTAGTGAGATATACAGGATTTTACATTCCAAAATTAGGAATTTACCCTCCAAATTCATATGTCTTTTTTGTGGTATTAAATCAAGAAGAAAAATAGCAAATTTTTAGTCAGATTTAACAGACATTGAATCTGCTGCCTTTTTGAGCCTGAATGAGCTGGACTCCAGGGATTTTTGAAGAAAAAAAGTTTTGACTTTAATGGATTAGCCATGAAAGATGATCTCATGACTATTCAACATTAGTAAATGCTAGATGCATGAAATTTGTGTGCCTAACCATGAAAACCATATTCAGCATTAATGGCAAAGCATTACCTGCACATCATTTTGCATTTGATGGACCAGGTAGTTAAGCTCCTCCTGAGCATTTCTTTGTGGGAGCTTACAAATCATTGCAAATTCCTGGACCTGGAATCATAACATTTTGTCTTTTTCAACAGATATGGATAGGTGTCTGAAGTGTGCAGATCATCAGTACCCTAGCAGCAAGCAAAACCTCTGCCTCCAAAGGGCTGTGACTTTTGTGGCTTTTGAAGAGCCACTGGGGATGTCACTGGCTACTATGGCTCTTTGTTTCTCCCTTATCACTGTTGTTATCCTTGGGCTCTTTGTGAAGCACCGAGACACTCCCATTGTGAAAGCAAATAACAAAGCTCTCAGCTACACCCTGCTCATCTCCCTCACCTTCTGCTTCCTCTGTTCCTTGCTCTTCATTGGCCGTCCCAACACAGCCTCCTGCATTCTTCAGCAGATCACATTTGGAATTACATTCACTGTGGCCATTTCCAGTGTGTTAGCCAAAACTACTACTGTGATTCTGGCCTTTAATATCTCTGCTTCAAGCAGCAGGATGAGGTGGCTGCTGGTATCTCATACACCTAACTTCATTATTCCTATCTGTACTTTGATCCAAATCATTCTTTGTGGAGTCTGGATAGGGACAAATCCACCCTACCTTGACACAGACCCACACTCAGAACATGGCCAAATCATCATTGTGTGCAACAAGGGCTCCCTCACTGCCTTCTACTGTGTCCTGGGATACCTGGGCTCCCTGGCCCTGGTGAGCTTCACTGTGGCTTTCCTGGCCAGGAACCTGCCTGACACATTCAATGAAGCCAAGTTCCTGACATTCAGCATGCTGATGTTCTGTAGCGTGTGGGTCACCTTCCTGCCTGTGTATTACAGCACCAAGGGAAAAGTCATAATGCTCATGGAGGCCTTCACCATTCAGGCCTCTAGTGCAGGGCTCCTAGGCTGCATATTTTTTCCTAAATGCTACTTCATTTTGCTGAGACCAGAAATGAATTCTTTGCATCAATTTAGAGCAACAGTTCATTCTAAAGGCAAAAACTCTTATTAATTTTCAAATTGTGTTTCCTAAAATAGACACTCTAAATACAATGTCACCCTGTTATAACTTTTAAGATTATATTAAAATGTTAGATATTTTTCCATTAACAATTCACACTTCCTTGCCTATTAAAATTTGTTTTCACAACACTTCAACTCTAAATTTCATTGTATCATTTCCATTACCATAATAGTTATAATTACTGGTGAGATTATACCTTACTTTGTTTACCGAATCCAACCTGAGGCATTCTTCCACAGCTTTTCAAAAATAACGTTGTCAATGTGCATTGTAGAAACTCATGAAGGCTCCACACATTTAGTCTTGGTTTTACCATTAAACTAATAAATACTATTCATGAAAAACACACTGCCAACTTTGTACCCAGTGCATAAAATGAAAACATTCCCAGTAAGCTTTGGAAAAGAACAGTCTTTTGTCACCATTCCTGTTCAATACAGCACTTGCTTCATTGACCAGATCTATCAAAGAAGATAATGAAATAAAATGAACTTGAATAGGAAATGAAAATGTCAAATATTGATATTTGTTAAGGAGAAAACTTTTACATACAATCCATAAATCTGCACCAATATATTCTTAGAAGTAATAAACAAATTCACCTAAGTGTTAACATACAAGACCAAAAAGTCAATAGTGTACCTATACCTCAAGAATGAACCACTTGGTAAAGGAAACAGGGAATGGTAACTAATAATATATAACTAATTGCATGTAACTAGTTATGGGAAATTTATGAAAGGTAACTAGTCATGGGTAAGAATAGATGAGTAACTACCAATTGTAAAGTAGTGAATAGCTACTTATGGGTAACTCAAGATGGATAATTATATGTGGGTAATGACCATTTGCTACCTAGTTATGTGTAGCTAGACATAGGTAACCAGTGATAAATAACTACTTCTTTAAAACTAGCAATGATTAGAAAATTATGGGTAGGTAGCATTGTTTATTAATAAACTGCAGCTAATGTTAGTAACTATATTTTGATAAGTAGTATTGGATAACTATTTGCCAGTAAGTAGTGATATTTCACTAGTAGTAAGTAACTAGTGACAAATAATTAGCAGTAAGAAATTAGTAATTGATAAGTAATTGTGGGTTGCTAGTGATGAGTACCTAATGATGCTTTACTAGCTATTGGTAACAGGAATTTGGGAACTATTAATGAGTAACAAGTAATTCATTAGTAAGTAATGGTAAGTAATGTTTAACTAATAATCAGCAACTAGTACTGGCAATTAGAAATTGTTGACAAGTTGGGGGTAAATAGTAATATTTAACCTGTTGTAGATAAGTAGTCATGATTAGCTAATTTGGATAGCTAGCAGTGACTCAATAGTAAAGGATCACTAGTGGTGAGTTATGGGTAACTAGAAATTTCTTCTTATTCAAGGTGAATATCTCACCACACCTAACAAAGGCACACCCTTAGAATACACTTTACACAGGCTGAAAAATGGTGAATTTTTCCATCGGCAATAGGCCAAAGGAAGGAGTAATCTTGATTCGAATTTGCACAGTCCAATACACCTGGGATGCATTGTGTTCAAGCAGCAGTGGAAGGAGGGAAAATGAGTAGCGAGCAGTTGACTGGACCATATGTTCCCCAATTTGCACCTTTTCTAGGATGAGTGACAGCAGGCTGAAGGATCTGAACTGGAGCCAGGAAACAATGATAGAGGTAAGCATCAGGGCTCCTTCAAATGTACCACAGCCACTATCAGCAACAGTGAGGTCCTGAGCTCCTCCAGCAATGAAGAAATCTGAGTTTCAATCAGGAAAGCTAATGTGGCAAGCTTCTCCATGAGGCTGTGAAATGTGCCATCTTCTCTTCCAGAGCCAAGAAGTGATGCTCAAGATGAGAAACAGAGCTCCTCCAAAGTTCATCGGGAAAGCCAGCAAGACACGGTCCTCCAGAAGAATAGTGCAAGAGAACTAGCAGCCTCTAATAGCTCCAACAGCTTCTCCAAACAGTATCCCTAACAGTATTCCAGTAGCTTCTCCTGTTCTGCCTTTTATGGTGCTAGCAGCAACCCTCAGGTGGACCTTCCACACCCAGCAATATGCTAATTCAATTCAGCTGGGTGGAAGAAGTTGACCAAAAGTTAGCTATCTGCTACAGTGGCAGTCTGCACTTCATTGACGCTGTAGACCCATTTCATAGCCACTATCTCCTATGGGTAGCTGATGGGCAATTATATGATAGTTTGCAAACAGGGAATCCAGGTAGGTCCTACAAGATAATCATTGACCTGGGAAAAAGGAAAGTCCTCTGCACAATCTAGTCCCAGGTTTGGTGGACTGAATTTCATAAATGCTCTTTATTATTTAGGAGAAATCTTTGCACTAGAAACCAATGACAATTATGCATACAGGCTGGAAAAGTGATGTGTCTATAGGAATTAAATAATCTGAAAGAGATGATGACACATGGCCCATGTTTGGGGATATGCATGTCACTTACTCTGCATCCTCATTTTTTACATGGTGATTGTGTTCTGTGAAAACTGTTCATTATAAAAATTAGGTTGAAGTGGAGACTTCTACAAAACCATCATACTGGGCAAGGTGAAATAGTCAGAAAGGACTATGCATAGACATGCTATTGCAGTTTGCATCTCATAAACTCTTGCTGACCATATTACAATCTTATCTTTGCAGCCAAAGGGCCATTTCATGGGTAATCTAAAAAGGAGAAATTAACCCCACATACTTGACCTGGAGCCATCCTCAGCAATACAGTCAGGCACCATATGAGCAGTATAAATAAGAAGCAGAAACAAATTTTAATTGAAAGGAGAAAAAAAAACAGCTAAAATTACAAGATGATAGTCCTTAAAATTCTAAGATATTCAACAAAAATGTTCTAACTCATGAAATTAAATGTTTGATATTAGAAATAATAAGTTTCATTATAAGATACAGAGTGCATGAAAGCATAGTAAATACAATATTCTACATTTTCAGAAAATTCCAAAAAAAGTCAGGGATAAATATGACATCAACAATTATTACATATGAAATACTTCTATATAGTTTTTGCATGTTATGACATATATTAAAACAACACATAGATATGTCTCTCACATTAACAAGGGATAATATGACATAACTAGAAATATTTATCCAATTCTTAATAGGAAAACTTACTATATCACCATCGAGGTATTCTCCAATTAACTTCTAAATTCTCTCTCTGTCATTCTTATTAGTTTGTTGGTACAATGTAGATAGATAGATGATAGATAGATAGATAGATAGATAGATAGATAGATAGACTATATTCATCATAGGGAACATAGGATATATCTTGATTCCTTTTTTCCCCTAATCCCCTCTTCTCCCTAACATGTAAACTAAATATTTCCATTTCAAATTTAAGGACATTTACTATGGGATATTGCCAAGAGGCTTAGAATTCTAAACGCTCTACTGAAGAGAAAGCTCAGCAACATAAGGGCCTGCCTGGCAAGGTCAAAGACCCCAGTTTGATCCCCGGTAGTGCATGCTGTGCCAGCCCCAAATCTGGGGGTGGAGAAACCCTTCATATGAAGCCAAATGTACCTAAATGAGGTAAAACCCAAGGAACACAGGGCTCAGTGGTATTTTTGTGTTCCCCATTGGCCAACATAATCAGCCAACATTCTGTGTCTCACATACATATCTATGCAGACTCTATGCTCAATAATAATAAATGGATAAATAAAAGGTGACACCTATACATAAAGGAATATTGCCAGTTTTGAAGAACAAATCTGAGACATTTGTAGAAAAATAGGTGTGGCTAGGAAATATAACATAAAGTTAGATAAATCACATACAAGCTTAAATCACATGATATCTCTTAAATGAGTAAAGCAAAATACAAAGATCAAAACAGTGATAGAAAGAAATAGACAGATCTGCTCTAAGTGGGAAAAGGTACAGGTGACCATTGGCAGAGAGAGACACTTTTGTAAGGGATGAAGGCAAGTGAAGAGAAATTTAAAATATTTCAGGGACTCAAACCAAATAGCCATAGAGAATGTAAAAATTTATTGTCATGAACATGAAAAAAATAATAAAAATAATGAAAATGAAAGTAGAGCTTTGAGATGAAAGGAGGGAGGAAAGTAAGGCCAGAGGAAGGAAATTTTTTAAAAAATGTGTTATGTACATGCACCTACTCCCTAAGGTGATTGTAAGCATCATATATAACAAGTATTTACAAATAATCAAAGAATTTGGTTGTACAAGGGCTCAAAAAATGTTGAAAGGCAAATCAGAAAAAATACATCATTAACAAGCCACATTATAATTTGCTTTTTATATTAATTTTATTCAGAAAGTAGTAATGAGACAGTTTCAAAGCAGGATAGTAGATGTTACAATAATTACTACATTGCATATGGTTTTTGTAGCAGTCATTCATAGTACAAGATGCAGATATGATATCTTGTCTAAACACTATAAGTTCAAAACTTTCTTCTCATTGAACTAAGAGGAAGTAGCTGTATATCTGTCCTAACTATTTTGATATATGGACATACATTTTTTTTCATTACAAAATGGTCCTTCACGTATATCTACCTTTTTTTGTTTAGTTTTGTCAGGGATGGTTGTTCCATTGCCATTCATATATTGTATGTGTATGAATTCAGGAAAATAATCCAATATATTTTCCAGCCGTCTGTAATACTAGTGGATTATCCACATGACTGGCAGTGTCAGAAGTTGCTGATTGAGCCTTTTACAGCTCAGCATATTAATATGGCTTTACTTTTTATATCTTGTTTTTATACTATTTTGCTGGATGGTTAAGTCTCTCACCTAAACAGTGTTCCTCCTAACAGAAAATGTGGCATCCTGACAGCAAACTTTGCCACCACACACAAAGGAGAGTGACTATGAAGCTGCTGCTTCCCTGATGGGCTGCCGGTTTTTGATTTGATATGGTTTGGTCTGCTTTTTGTTGAGCATGATAATGGCTAACTGAAACCTCTAGT